CCTACCTACTGCCCAGATGGAGCAGGATGACAGGGAAGCCTCCAGCAGCAGCCCTGCCCTGTGCTAAAGGGCTGGCGCTTCTGCCCATGAAGGTGGGAGCGAGGCACCCAGGATATGTTTGGGGATGGGTGTAAGCACCTTGCTCCCATCCAGAGCCAACCGTACCAGTGTGCGGGGCCTGTGGAGTGGCAAGCGGCCAGAGCACGGAGCTGGCAGTGGTGGCGCCGTTGGCATGTACCAATAGTGCTTTCCACGGGGCCCCCCAGTATGGGGCCTGGGGCGGTCACCCCAATTTGCCCCCCTCTCTCCCAAGGGATAGCTCTGCTCCCACCCTTGCAGGTGGAAAGGCTGGGCAGGGCACAATTCGTTAGGGAGGCCCATGATAGCTTTCCTTCTGACTTAGGTGTGACTTAGACTGCTCTGCTGAACGAATCATGACAAGTATTGTTGCAGAAAACAGCTAACTAGGGCCTATGACAGTAGAGGCAAATTCCTGCATATCTTTATCTAATTTGCATACTGCAGTCATCTTGCTTAAGATGCCTTGATGCCAACTTTAAAAGCAATTCTGAGATGATTTAATCAAGTGAGGTCTCACTGCGACAGATACTAGTTCACTGCTCATAGGATTCATGGACATACAACATAAAATATCAACTGAAGAAAAAAAATCAGTCCTTTATTTGCAATGCCGTTCTTTATAAAAATACTCCTCTTTTAAAGGGAGATGACACTGTGGTACACTTGTACACCTGGATTCCTATGGGTATGTCAGCAACTGGAATTGCCCAAGTTGTTACAAAAATCAAACAAAAAAAACCACAAAACAAAAACAAAAACCCCAAAAAACCCAACACGTATTAAGTTTGCTGCAGGATAAAGCATAACATCAGTGGAGCAGCAAGCTGTACTGATAACACAGGTACACTATGTTGTCAGTCACCTTAAGTATTTCTAGTTGTGCTGATGGAAGCACCACGGCAGTTATACAGATGGGATGGAGAAAGCCCAAATGGTTATAAATAGTTTTTTAAAATGGCTGTTACAGCCTATCTGGTACATTCAGGAGTTCCTGCTGTCCTTTTTTCAAGAATTGAAACAGACAGCCTAAAGCCTAGTTGCTGAGCAATTCCTGGCATTCATAACTGGGAAGACCTCCCAGGAGATTAGTGATCCCCATTATACTGAAGTTTGAGTATTGCACTGTAACTTCCAGACCTTCACAGTAAGGGCATGGAGGGTGACAGCCTCAGAAATGTAGGCCTAGATATAATTTACTTTCTTGAGACGGAGTCCTTTAGGAAGGGATCATGCCTTTGTTCCGTTTCCTGTCAGCCATTGCACGTCTGTTATGATTAGCTCGTGTTCCTTTGCTGGCTTCTTTCTTCCTCCTTTCCTGTATGGTTTCCCGGTTCTGTCCGTGTCCCTTCACATTCCCAACAACAGCTGCTGAGCCATCATGTTTGTGCCTGAAGCATGTGTTAATAAACAAAGGGAAGTTATCATGGTCCTACACCAGATCACAAAACTAGATTTCCCTTTAGTACAAAGGAGAGAGTGGGAAGAGAGTTCAGCCAGCCAGCCAGCCATTAAGTCTTACTGTAGCACACTGAAAATTAAGCTGTACAGCACTTCTATAATACAGGAAAATTATCTATTAACTACATGCAAATACAATCTTCTTATGTTTAGTAAGGTGACAGAAAGCCAAATACAATACTGTCCTGTCTTCACCTGTGGAGGTTATTCAAGATGTAGGAAGATCCTGCTCTCCCAAGAACCTATTAATCATATGCAGGGTCTTGTTCTCCTGTTCACATAGCTGCAATAGTAGCACCGCTATAGCAAGTGAATAGGTTGGGTCAGGGGTCCCATACCATTGGCACAGAAACAGTAGATGCACCGAGGTTAAGCTGAGTAAGAAGACTGAGACAGTGTCAGTTTCAAAAGATGCATTTGTTAACTTAAGAGTGGTGTGAAGCATTCTGGGTTGATTCAAGCCAACTTAAGACCTGCATCAAGTCAAGATGCTTTGTTCCATTATGGCAGTAGCCTTGAGGAGACAGGGATCTCGTGATCAGGTGTCGTGGTACTAGTCAAAAGTGAAATCTTGGTCCACTGAAGTCAATGAACATTTTGCTATTGACTTCAGTGGAGCCCATACTTCATTCCAAATAAGGGATTCTGTCTTACCCTTTCCTGGCAAGGTAAATCATCCGTCGGGCTTCTGCTCTCTCCCTCAGCACAGCTGGGTCCTGGACAAAATGGTCCTGCTGCAGAATAGAAGTTATTGTAGTATTATGTACTCATTAGCAATATCTGAGGAGATACAGAAGCTTGGCTTTTTGTGGTATGGTTGAGTCCTTCCCTACCCCCGACCTACAGCTGAGGTTACCAGTTATGACTAGACAATTCAGCAGATTAGTGTTAGGGAAGCCCTTGATGCAAGATGATACAAGCTACTCCAACTGAAAAGCTGGCAGAACATCTAGACCAGGAGTAGGCAACATTTTTGCCTAGTGCTCAAAAAAACGCAACGTCTACCTTATAAGGTGCCAGTGCCAGCACGCCAAAAACCCCAAAACTGGGGTAGGAGGTACATGGCAGAAAACATTGCATATATTAATATAGTTAATCATAAATGTTGCTTTTTTTTTTTTTCATACAGTAAATATCAGGTTTTCTAAAAATTTTAAACCTGGTGTCAATAACTAAAACTTCATATACTACCTTTGTTCTTGTGTATTCTTATTTTGTTAAGCGTGTTGTGATGAAAGAGGGGGAGAGGGAGAGAGAAAAGAAAAAGGGAGAGAAAAATAGAAAAGAGGAAAAATGAGGAGAAGAGAAAAAGAAAGAAAAAAGGAGAGGAGAGAGAAAGAAAGAAAAGAGAAAGGGAAAGAAAAAAAGGAGAGGAGAGAGAAAAAAAGAGGAAAGAAAAAGGGGAGAGGAATGAGAAAGAGGGGAGATTAGAAAGGGGAAAAAGAGAAAGAAGTGTGTCCTTCACTGCCCACATCTCCCACCACTACCAGCTGCAGCTTGGATCCACTAGTCCAGGGCAGTGTCCGGTGGAGGAAAGAAGTGACACCCCAGCAGCTGTCGCCAAGGCTGGGGTGATCAGGCCTCCCCGACAGTCCCAGAGCAGAGGGAGCCTGGGCTCAGGGCTGGGAGGGAAGACCTAGTTGGGGCTTGGGCAGACAGATGCCCTGTCCCACCTGGGCGGGGGGCAGCACCAGGGCAAAGTCTAGATCGTGTGGTGAATCCTGGGTGCAGGGGGAAGCTCCATGGATAGGCCAACCTAGCCAGGCCCTTAGGAAGGCAGCAGGTGGAGGAGAGTGAGGGCTGGGCGGGAAGCATGGGCTGCCTCAGGGTTCCACGGACTTGGGCCACAGTGGGTAGGTGGCCAGGGATGCCCAGCAGCACCTGAGGTGGGGCCTGGCCCAGCCCACACAGCTCTGTGGGGATGGGCTGCAGCCACCCTGCCTGCATAGAGATGCCACCTGGTCAGGGCAGGACACCAGGCTCAGGGGGCTCCAGGCTCAGCCTCCCTGCATGCCAGACAGTGCAACCAGGGCGAAGCCACTCCTGGTGCAAGGGCCTGGCTGTGGGGCCCAGCTGCAGGAGGCCCCCAAGCCCCAGAAACAGCCGCTGCAGGCAGCGCATGGCACCAAGCGAGCCACGAGCCTCCAGCACAGTGGTCCTCCACAGCACCTACCCGCTCCATCCTTACCCACCTGCAGCTCCCCCTCCAGGGGCCGGGCCAGGGGGCGAGGTCAGCAGAATGCAGATAGCATCTCTGCCTGTGCTCTCCTGACTTCGTCCACGGTGCCTGGTGTGGTGCTAGGACTTGTGGCTGCTCCAGAGACCCCGGAGCAGCAACTTAAAAAAATTATTTTTTTTAAACAATATCCTCACACACATCCTGGCATGCCAAGGAAAATATATGTCTCCACATACCACTAATTGGCACACATACCAGGGGTTGCCTATCCCTGATCTAGACTGCAAGTTTGTTACTGAGATTCTGTTCCTCCCTTATCATCAGCGGTGGGCAAAATGGCAGATCCAGCCAGTGGCCAGATTGGGGCACTCAGGCTGCAGATTGCAGCTCTGCCCTGGCTCTGGACTGTGCCATCACTGCCACAAGATCCTAGTTCAGCTCTGGAGCAGCTCTGTGCCCTGCCACATGCCCCGTCAGCAGGGTGGTGTTGGGGGGAAGATTTGGGGGGGCTATAGCCACCCAAAAATTCCCTGTAGCCCCTCTGCCACCACCACGTGCCCCACACAGGCAGTGGCAGCTGAGTCTGTCCTGCTCCTGTCCACAGCAAAGCCCCTCCAGCCCCCACACCAGGAAGAGGCTGGTGCCATTGCTACCTGCCAGTGCTGCTCAGGCCACTCTGCAGAAACCCGAGCACTGCGCTATTACAACAGGGGCCACTGCTGGAGTCTCCATGGAAACTGGCCCCAGCTGTGTGGGCAGGGGCTGCTGGGAAATGGAGTCCACTGCTGGCCAGATCCAGCCCACAGGCCAGGCTTTGCCCACCCCTGCTTATCAGTCAATTTCACCATTAATAACACTGTATTTACTCAATTCCAAGACAAGATTTTTTTCCCCGACATTGAACAGAATAATCAAGTACAAGGTGGTGGGGCAGGCTGCTCCGGTGCCAGCAGGCTCTTTCCCCTTCCAGCCTGGCACACAGAGCATAGCTCCAGCTCAGCTTCATAGTGGCATGTAGCCGACACCACTATTGTGGGGCCAGGCTGGCGCCAGTCCATGATGTGGGAGGAAGGATAAGGTGGAGAGAAGAGTAGCAGTGGTGGGGGGACAGATGGATAGGTAGGCAAGTGACAGATGCCTGAGGCTACATGGAGCAGGCAAAAGTTTGGGGGAGGCAGGGGGCAAGCTGTGAACTGCTACACTCAGGGAACTATTTACTGTCCAATTGTTTGCTGCTTCTGACCAAAGGGGCACCCTTCCACACTGAAAAGCAATGCCTATCAATGCTGAAGTTGGAAGATTCAGGTTTTGAAACAGGTAACTTACCATGATGCTAAAGCCCCTGCCAGCAATAACAGGCAAAGTAGATGGGACTTACAATGGAACTTTTCATAGCTCCAATTTCCATCAACCTGCAAAACAAGCAAATCACCTTTGGTGTTTCTTTTTCAGCTTCTTCCTCTTCCGGGTCCTCTTCGTCTTCGTCTCGTCCTTTGGGTTTCAGGACCCGAGGTGTGGTAAATGGCCTGGGAGTTTGAGGCACAAAAAAGAGAAAAACTAAGGGACCTCATCCACAACTATTTTACTTGGGCAATGCTATTACTATAGCCCAACATCATTCAACTGGCTGTCCAGAGGCTACATCTGGCCCACAAGAGGTTAACGTGCAGCCCCCAGGCACCTGCCTGACTGCCACTTTCCCCTTGCTCCTGCTGCTGCAGCAACCTCTGAAGCAGGGCAGTATGCAGTGGTAGAAGGGGTGGGGACCTTGCACTGCCCACATGATGGAACGAGGGCAGAGGGGAGATGGGCTTGTAGTGGCTGCACAGTGGCACGCAAGTCATATTGACTATGCCATCTGGCAGCAGCAGTGGCAGGAGGAGGGTGGGGGGTTCTCACTGCCCACATGGCAGGGTCATGGGGATCCAACACAATAGACTGCCCTCACATCATAAGTTTGCAGTCTGCAGCCACTCAGAAGTTGGACAGCCTTGCTATGGCCTGTCCAAGGTCATTTTAAAAACATTTCTGAACTGCAAAAGTGACAGGCATTTAAAGAGCATAACCAAAGCTTTTAGGGACCTATAACTTAATAAAGTGGGTGGAATGAATTACTAACTTTGTAGGG